ATAGCTCTACACAGCCATCTCTCTCCACACCACCACTGCTGCTCCACCCTCAGCCAAACTCTGGAAAACTGTAAGTTACATTTTCAGGGCCCTACTCATTCTCAAAACACAAGATAAGTAGTTTTTCTTAGGCTAGTAATGTCACATTGACCCACGCATGTAGCTCTGAGTTGGTGAGGGGTCCCAAACAGTAAACAATTGGCTGAACCTTGAGCGGTATGTGCAGAAAGGGAGCTACTGCAAGGACTATGACTTGATGTAAACAGCCTGGCCTTGATTTAGCAATAAACAACACCTGGAAATTAGTCTTTGCATATATTCTGCAGGGGCAGGTTAGTCTGTTTTGAACTAATTCTAAGGTCTTTGAAAAATGTGTCAGTAAAGAAGAATATTCTGGTAATATTTCTGTTCATCAGAATTATACAGCTTACACAGAAATCCACAGCTAAATGTGTGCCCAGAGATGGAAAACACACTACCCTTTGGCTGTGGAAAGCACCCACAGCTGTTCTTATTAGGGAGACATAACAGTGGCATCGGAGAAAGTTACAGACAGAAAACAACTGGTTTCCACAGCCAGTGACCCCACGGCTTTGCCAGGTGGGCTCCCCATCAGGGAGTTATCCATCTTGTGGGTCGACTTGTCAAACACTAGTTGTCACTTGCTGTATACTCCCACAGACCTCAGCAGGCAACCTAGTCTCTCTCTCTCTCTCTCTCTCTCTCTCTCTCTCTCTCTCTCTCACTCACACACACATTGTCTCTCTATCTCTGTTTCTCTCTGTCTCTCTAATACACACACATACAAATTTGCCATGTACATTACTCACAATGGTCTTCAGAACACACAGCCTGTCAAGTGTCCTCTCACAAGTACAGAGACAGGAGGAGGGACCTGTAAGTTGGAGGTCACGACTCCTCTAAATATTTATATTTCTACATCTTCCAAAGTAAGTTCCCCCTTCTGCCTGCCTCAGAGAAGCTGCAGCTCTAGAGACAGGCTCTTTCTCTAATGGCAAACTGCAGAAGTTTCTAAAGGCCCTGGGTCCCTTCAGTGACCAATTCTTTCATTTTTTGAATTGAAAATTTTTATACAGTATATTCTGATAGTGGTTTCCCCTCCTCCAACGTCTTTAAGATTCTTTCCATCTCCCACCCACCCAACTCTACACCCTTCTCTCTGTGTCTTTGGAAAGCAAACAAATAGGCAAAAACACAAACAAACCAGGAAACACACACCACAACACAACACAACACAATACACAAAAAACCTTAGAAACACAAGAACAGAAATCATCACTTTTGCCTGAGCTCTGACAGGGAATAGTAACCTCACAAAATGAACCTTCCTGCTCCTTCTCTGACTCCATCATTGAAGCGAAACATCTCTCTGAGCTTGGCTTCATCTGTTTATGAATGAACAGCACTGGAAAGCCAGTGTCTCTGTGGTAGCTCTCAGGTTCTGGAGTCTTGTGACTTCACTCCGTTCTCCCAGGAAGCTGGAAGCCCAGTTCTGGGACAAGCGTGTAAACACAGGCCTCATAATTATCAGCCGGCACCATCACCCCTTAAGAATTCACCAGACAAGGAGCTGCGCACTCACAACTCTGAGGAGCTGAAGGGTTTGCTCTGCCCCAGTGGAGGCCTGTGCTGCTTCCGCATGGGGTGAGCCTGGGCTGGCAGCCAAGGCCACGTCTAACTGCCAGGACAAACGCAGTTGTGGGCTTTGGGTTGCTGAAGAGAGGATGGCGCTGGTTCAGGAACTGCAGCCTGGGTCAGCCAGAGGCTCTCAAGTCTAGTTGAGGTTAGAGACCACTGTGTGGTGTTACAGCACCACAGTCTGGCTAGTGTTCCAGCACCACCAATGACCAG